CTTTCCTTTCCTTTCCTTTCCTTTCCTTTCCTTTCCTTTCCTTTCCTTTCCTTTCCTTTCCTTTCCTCCCTCCTTCCTTCCTTTCCTCCCTCCCTCCTTCCCTCCTTCCTCCCTTCCTTTCCTCCTTCCTTCCTTTCCTCTGAGCTTGTGTGCTTCCCTTCCTCTCTACCCCACCTTGCAAAACAAGGAAAGGCACTCTGCACATGACCTGACACTTTCATTGTTTTTTATCTCTTAAGCACAAGTTGATTCAAGACACTTTCTGCCTTCCAAATCTCAGTGACCCAAAGAGGAAAATGTAGGGGCACTCTGTACATGCTCAGAGGTGCCTCCGGTTTTCCATTTTCCCGCCTTCCTCTCCTGTTACCGAGTCTCAGAGGCATAAGGTGTGGGTGTGCCTGTACGCTGGTTACTGTACACAAATTGGTTATCGATGTGTTTGTTTTCTCCCCTACTGCAGTTAATAGGTATATTGTCATTTCCTGCTTTTTATGTTTTATGCTGTGTTTTAAGTATTGTTTGCTGCCCACTGTCATGAATTTGAGATGGATGACTATATAAATGGAACGAACGAACGAACGAACGAATGAATGAATGAATGAATAGATACTTTGCATGTGTGCAGAGCAAGAGCAAGACCATCTTAACCTTTCCAGGTTCTCCCCCATTTCTGTCTGTCCTTTCTGGGTGACAGGGAAGGAGCAGCTGAGATGTTTTCATCCTGAGGCAATAAAAGCTAAAAGACCCGTTGCCCAAAATACTGTTTTGCAAAAAAATTGCTGAAGTACGTAATAGGAAGTAGCTGATCTGGTGGAGAAGGTGCCCTGGAGCTAGAGGCTCACTCAAAAGCTTTTGAGTGCAGGTTTGATCCAGGGCTGCCCATGATGAGCCCCTCAACCAGTGCTTTTCAACCTTGTCCCTTTAAGATGTGTGGACTTCAACTCCCAGAATTCCCCAGCCAACATGCAACATACCGTCAGCGGCAGCATTCAGGCAGATTATTCAGAAACATAGAATCCGGGACCTGGACTAGAGTCAGAGTTAGGGTTTTTCTTTTAACATCTTCAAATGCGTTTGATAATGAGGCAGTCATCTGCAGAAAAGAAAACGTTAGAAA